AATCGCGTAACTAGAACGTTATATGCGGGGAAAACGATGTATGAATACATATAAGGAAAATATACATTAACAATCGACAAAAATACTGTCTTAATTTCTATAATTTACATTATTGTTCCCAGTTTTTATCGAATTAAAACGATTATTTTTATGGCTGTGTATTATAAATTTATAAATTTACAGCCATAAAAGAATAACATGAATAAATTTTAAAGGTTTTTAATAGGCTGTAGATACAATAAAACACGCATAAATCGGAATCTTGCAGTATCGAATATATTTTCCCCGGTGTAGCAGGTTACAGTTATGAACGGGTTCTCTTAAGTTAGAAAATCGGTCCGTTACGAATAATTTTTTCGGATTTTTAGGCTTCCTTCTTATCCAGGTTCCGTTTTGGACAGGTTTTTTGCAATTAAAATATTTGTAAATGCTAATAACGAGTAAAATCTTCATTAAGTTCGACCGGAGATATGACACATGACCACCTCTATCTCCTCACTCATTCGACCTTTAACCACGAAAATTTGACAGCATCGATGCCCCTAATACACAAACCTGTCAGCAAAATTTCAGAAATATTCGACCAAAGGTAGGGGAGTTATAAAGCTTTAAATTGGGTAAACATAATCGCTCCTCCACCACACGCATACAGAAAAACCACCGAATTTTTTGCATTTCTCGACGTTTCAAGGTCTCACTAGTCTAAAAAAATGTAAAAATCTTGGAGTTAAGTTTATTATTTTACTTGTTAAGAAAATATTTATATTTATTTCTTTTAAATATATTTAAAAATCCGAACATTAAAAACTCGAAAATAGGCTAAAATAAATTAAATATATATATTTTACAATCGCTTAATTGTTGTTATATAAGTCTACTTGGATTAATGTACAGGTGATGCAATTCTGACCTACAGGGATGTCGAAATTGCATTGTCATTAGCAGACGTTAGCGACGTACAGAGAAATATTTGGCGTATCATAGCGTATAATTTTACTCACGAATAGATTAGAGACGATAAAAATTTTAATATTAAAAAAAAATACAGTAAAACCTGCGTAAGCCGGAATTGCACGATTACCGAGTATTTCTTCATCGAGTTTCCGTTTTAAACAGGTTTCTTTTAACGTAAAAAAATCTCTCCGTTCCAAAAGAAAAAGAAAATACCTTTTTTTTTTAAGCAGGTTTCCGTTTTGGACAGGTTTTACTTAATTAAATTTGAAATTTAATTAAATATTTAACCTGTTAAACGAAGACTTTATGAAGATTTTCTGCAATCAATTCTGACTTGCAGAAAGTCGCCATTTTATTTGCAAGGGCATTAATTTTAATTATTCCTTCCTAATATTATTACGAAACTTGTTACGTAACACTGTAGAAAAAGATATATTTTTATTTTCTTAAACGCAGGGTGGTCAAAAAGTCAGTTGACTGAGCTAAATTAAGATTATTTTAACAAGCGACTGCCTTTTCAAACCGGTTTTTTAATCGTTCTTAAAGTATCGGTTAAATGATTTTTAGGTCACTCTCTACACTCCTACTTGTTCTTGAATCTATAAACTATACTATCAGATAAATTTATCGTATTATTACTGTTTATCTAACAATAGAAATCATTTAGAAGACATTCAGTGGCACACTACTTGTGATTCATACTATTGACGGATCGTACGATCAATCAGTCTATAAAATTGATTGTTGATCCCTCCCTATCTTAAATGTCCCGTGTTATCATTTAATTTCTACTAACGTGTTGTATGTAAATGCTTTTCTGACTTTTAAAAAGCTGGTAGCATTATTGTTAAACTTTTCCGGCATTCTTTATTAGTTTTCATTCCCAATAATTACTACCATTATCTTTAAGATCTTCAGGCCACTTCGGGAGATATTAAGATGAGAGTATATCTCCCGAAAAAACAGTGCAATTTTCTTGAAAATTTCTAGAAATATTCCCCCCTAATACACAAACCTCCGTGCAAAATTTCAGAAATTTTTGATAAAAAACGCAAGAGTTATTAAGCTTATAATTGGGTTTTAAAAAAATGGTGCAACCAACACACACGTGCGGCAACACAACACGTGGGCGAGCTGCCGTGGGGGATGTCTCCAGGGAGGACTTTCTAAGGGAAGCTGGCCACTATTTAGGTGTTACTAACGTAAAGAAAACCCAGAAAACTCATTTGGAGAAAATGGAACCCACAACCAAGTCCAGTGGTTTTATCCATTCGTCAACTGGTGGGCACCACACACATTAACATCCATACATACAGCGAAAATCTCCAATTTTTTTTAATTTCTCGACGTTTTAAGATCCCGAGTCCAAAAATATAAAAATTTGGGGAAATTTTGGGAGGGTCAAAAAATCACCTCCATACTTTCCCTCTGTTGTATAGGCCCTATAACAGCGAGGAAATTACAGAAAATAAACCTTTAAAATTAAAAAAATTACACTATAAAATTACAGCAAATTAAAAGTATTAACAAGATTCAATTTCCACGTTGCGAATTTGAAGAATTATCAATTAATATTTTAAATAATTACTCGGCCATTTCCTCTAATTAAGTAAAACCTACACAAAGTAAATTCGCATTTACAGGAAACATTTTTAGATTTAACTAGTTTTAAATTAAAGTATTTAATAATTGTCTTGCATCATTCAAAATCTTCGAGATAACTTATCATTAGATTAAAGAGATATTTTGAGTGATTAACAGTTTATTCTATCTCATTAATGAAGAAGATAAAATGACGATTATAGTAATTCCGACAGCTAAAGTAGACCTCGTATTCTAGTGCCTCGTTTCTCAACCGGTGGTCCGCGAGCCCCTAAGGGTCAGTCAAAAAAAATGACCCTTCCCAAAAACCCAAGACTTTCACATCTTTTGGACTGGGAAATCTTGAAACGTCGACAAAGATCGAGGCAGGCCTTTTTTTTAAACTCTTCATCCATTGGGCACTAAGAGGTCATTTTTAGCAAAGCCCATTATGAATTGGCCAGGATTTTTTCGGATTTTCTTTACGTTAGTAGCACGTAAATAGGGCCAATTTCTCGTTAAAAGTTTTCTCGGGATGTCAGATCTCCCACGTGTCACGCTGCCGTATACAAACAAAAAACAAACGAAATTCTTGGTAAAGAAAAAAAAATTGTTTCAATAATAGTAAAATTTTATTGATTATTTTAATAATTTTAATTAAAACTTAATAATAATAACCACGAATAAAGATATTGGAAGAAAATAGAAGAGAATAAAGATCCTTTCTTATCGTGGATTCGGGTAAAAATTCGATAAAATTTTATTGCCACAACATTTCTGAACTAAGTTTTATAGTCCTGAAGAACATCATTTTCTGTAACGTTTGTTTGTCTGATGACAGATAGTCAACGGTGTACAGAGAAGACAACCCCTGAGGAAAATACAAAGTCAACAACGTGGTATTCTATTGTTTGTAGAAGAACAAAGAATTTGTCTGCTAAGGTATCGATTTATGCACAGAGTTTTGATCGGAAAAGCTGTTGCTTTAATCGTTCGTAGTAAATACATTTGTTTAATTTCTGTTATTTAATTATAATGTTTTTTAATTTAGTATATGATATAAATTTTGCAAGAATATATAAGATTTTTCTGAATAATTTATCAATTCCATTAATAAAAATATTTTAATGTTTTATATTTTAATATATTAATAAATAAATTNCCAAGATATTTATAGAATTGTGACCTATTTCTAGTTATTTTGAATGAATATTATAAAAGTTTCTATATCATTAATTTTTTGCCAATGTTATATTGAATAAATGCAATTTTTAGTGACAAAAAAGAAAATTGCAAAAATATTCGTAATAATCAAATGATTAAGCAGTCATTGTTCTGACCCTGAAAATTGTTTTTGATTAACTAAAATTTCAGCAAAATCATATGCACTTTGTATTTAACAAACTTGGCTTCTGTGATAATTTACTATACTTTTAATTTGTGTAATAATTATATAATATTCTAACATATCTAAAAACTATGAATTATGCTAATTATTAATTAATTATGATTATCATAATTTAAGCCCAAAAACAACCAGCTTTTAGATGAATTGATTGTACATATATATATATTTCAAAAAGAAATATTTCTAAAAACTTGGCTAACATTTTGAGCAGGTTCCATCATTGGAGGTTAAACTGTATTATATTGTATAAACATATACATGCATAAATTTAATGTGTGACTACTAATTAATCATGTTATTTTATATTATTTAGTTTAAAAAAAACAAAAAGAATAAATGGAATGCATACAACTGAAGTGTAGCCCAAAATTTAGTTAAATGAGTTTTGTGTGTATGGGTAAACTTTGTGAATATGAACTGTGAATGGAGCTTAGAACAAATCTTGTTTTTACAAAATTTATTAAAACAAAGCCACAAATTAATTATTTTTTAGCTAAAGTAGTTAACCATTATAAAAACTAAATTGCTATTTTATTCGGGTAATTCTTTATCGAATTTACAAAAAGCTATTAAAAAAATCCTCCTTGTTTAATATACAAATTGGTCCAACAGTAGCCAAGTGGATCCGGTCGTGGGTTCGTGCTTGGCCACGTGGAGTTTTTAGGGCTTTCAAAAACCTAAATAGGGGGCCATTTTCTTGTAGAAAGTCTTCCTTCCTCGCAGTGACGCGTTATTCTTTGAGCGAGAAGGACAATTATCTGGGTCCCCCACTAAAACAGGGGGCTCCAAACCAATTTATTATAAGAAAATATTTCCTCCAAAAAATTCCCTCGAAGAAAAAAATGCCTGTACATGGGGCTCCCTAATTTACTTGGACCCCGTGAAGCTATAACGCGCCACTGCCTTTTCGGCAGATCGTCCAAGTGTCGCGTTGCAATATACAAATTGCTGGCTTTCTTGCAAAAGAAGTCACCGTTAACTGACTTCTGGATCACCCTCTATTCTTTCGTTAAGTATTTATGTACAATTTCATGCGGGTAAAGCACAAAACAAAGTACAAAGTCGAACGTTTCGTTTTTAATTCATTCGTTTCAACATGTAAAAAAAATGAACGATACATGTCACAACAGTTTGAAAGTTATTGGTCCGATGGCAGATAGATGATAACGTTAAGACAATAATGATTATGGCATAAAATACAATAATTTAGATACACAAAATGTTCATGTATAACGACATCACAAATCATTAAAAAAAAAATAAAAAACAAGACGTCAAACTTCTGTGGCACGAGTAGTTTAAAAGCGCTGTTCATCCATTCATTCAATTAAGTATGGTCCTTCACGAAATATTTCGTATAAATTCCAAAAAAATGGATTTTCTCTTTATAAAAATAGTCACTAAATTTACTCCATTTACTTCCAAACTCGAAATATTTATCAAAGTTGAGCATGGAACTAGTTTTTGAGCTTTGAAAAATGTTCTTTCACAACTTCAATTTCGAGTTATTCACACGAGTAGGGTACAAAAAAAAGGAGCACTTCCCCTCGTTGCATAATTATATATATATAAAAGTCCTGCTCCAAATAATAATTTACTCAAAACTTCTAGAAATTAATTCAAATTTAAAGTTCCGAAGTTTCCAAATTGGCAATGTGAGGTGTTAAGAGCACCGGACCCGATCCGTATATGAAATGTTTATTTGATTTGTTAAGATCATTTTGTTCTTGGACCGGATCCTTGGGTGGAGTGTTATGAATCTGTTGAATACCAGACGTAACTTTAGGAGAATTGTTTGACGTAATGGTAAATGGTTCGGATGCTATTCTAACACTTTTATAATTGACTGTAGGAGCATGTTGGGGTGTAGTCTCACTCGATGGACTGGTAGAAGTTTCGGTATCTTCCACTGCATTTTCATCTAAAGAATTGTCATCTTCTGATCTATGGCTACAAAATAAGATAAAATTGAATTAATTTTAACACTTCTGAAGTCTCTTACGTCAGTATCAAATCTAACACCAACCTCAGTTCCTCTTCATCTTTATACCATTCGTTGTCGTAAGCGTGCATCCAAATTGGATTCGACCTGTTAAAATATAATAAAATTACTCGAAAAATGTTTTTCAATACAATTAAAAATCGACACAATTTTTTTTTATATTTTACCCTTCTACGGAGTGTTGGTTCGTATTTGGTACATCCATACGATTAAGAGCTGAATCTTGAGAACCTAAACAATGGATTTTCTTTAGAGAAGATCAGGATTAAACGGATTAAAAATGAAAGAAAATAAACTTACCAAATGCTGTTGCAGTAGCTGCTTTTAATTTCCTTTCATACCTTTAAAAAATTATTATTATTATTATTTTACTGAATGCAGAAGTTAGAATTAAAGCAACACACCGTTGAAAGACTTATTTTAAAAAGTCTCCCGCTTGTTTTTTAATATAAAACAAGCGGGACTTTTTTTTTTTTTAAAAACCACGTTTTTTTTTTATTTTAAAAAAACACTGCATTTTATTCGAGTAGAATACAATTTATTTAGAAATTTATACGGTATTCTCATGTTAAATGCAGTAAAGAAAAATTTATTTTCTGTAGGAGTAGAGTGGTAAAATAAGTTTATTTTTGCTAACGTCTTATTGTCCTGAATGTAAAATTGAAGTATTATCTTTTCCATGCTGAATTGAACAGGAATTTCTCAAAAAGCAGACTTTTCTTTCTTTCTTTTTACATCACAGAATCGTCTTTAAGAGCTTATAAATAACAAACATGGAAGGAGAATAAACTCGATTTCCTTCAATTGCATTCCATCATACAAATGAACAATATGTAGGCGCTTATAAAATCACTCACTCTCCACTCTTTATGATAATCAGTCGTCTATAAAATCAATTTTTTCCCCCTTCTGGAATAGTTTTTCTATAAATTCCAATGTTATAGCGATTTATTTACACAGATTTTTAGTAATAAAAATATTAGAAGAGAAGGTAAATAAGATTACAGCACGGTTGGATTTATACAAAACTTAGCTTAAGGCCTCAGTTTACAAGGCCTCACTCTTTTAAAAACTTATAATTATCCGGTATAAATGGAAATGCCTGGTTTAATTGTGTTATAAAAGGCTCATGGAAGACCTTTCATAATAGCTCAGGAATGGATTTAGACTTGTTGCGTGTGCAATTTATTAAAGTTTGAGTGCAGAATTTAATTTTATTGGATGAGGAACATGAAAATTTACCTGCTTCTCTGAGTTAAACATAAAGAGATGACTAAAACCAGCATAATTGCCAAAAATACGGCTAATCCTATTAACCACACTCTTACTTGGCCTTCGACACTCGCCATTACTATGGTATCTTTAGCAGCCTGTATGCAAAATATTTAAATATATAAATAAATTCTGAAAATAAAATTTTAAAAGAAAATAAGTTTTAAAGATAAAAAAAATAACTCGTACTTCACTCTCTAGGACGTTGAATTCTTTAAATAATTCGTCTAAAAATTCAATGTTTCTATCCAAATAAATTGTATTCTACTCGNCCCTATTTTTGTTCGGTAGAGCATCTTGTTCCTTTTTTCTTTTTTTTTTTTTTTAAAGTAAGAATTAATTATTTTATATAAATTTTAAGTAGAATAATTTAACTAACTACGATTATTTTAAAATATAAATCATTATTATTAAATGTAAATATTTGTTTTGGATTTTAATGCCATCATCGAGTGGTTACAGATGAGTTTTCTGAAGTGCTGATGTTTAATTTAACGTTGTTAATACAAAATTTGATAAATAAACATAAGCTGAATTTTTAAAATATTGTAAAAATGTACATTTTTAAACTGTGGAAAAGTAAGGATTTTTTTTAAAAATGTGCTTTTATGAGAATTAGATACAATACTACTATCCATTTAGTAAATTCTCGAATTCACATCACAATCCACCAACGTAAACATCGTAGTGTTCGATTTATATATATATATATAGCCTATATTTAGAAACATTAAACGCAGAAATTTATTAAGGAAAATCTAATATAAATAACTCAAATCGACGCGACGCGACGCGAAACTTGACGATGCGCACCTTGAAAAACAATTAAATAATAATAATAATTTATGGATAATTTGTGAAAAAATTAAATACATTTTTTAATCTACATTTATCCTACTTTACAAGTAAAATTCATTTGGTAATTTAATCACAAAAATATTAACACTACAAAATTAACTTACGATAAAACCGTATTGACGTCCATAATGGAATTATCTTCTCTATTAACAAAATGCATATATAAATCACTCCTATAATAGAAAAAAAATTAATGTACTTTAAAGTTAAATAAAAGTAAAATTATTGATAAAAATTTCAAGTGCGCTATTCTTCGTACGCGACAGATCTTCTGTCGCGTCGCGTGTATTGTTTCTGAGCGACGCGTCGCTCACAAACTATACAGATGGGTATCAACAGGTTGCACCACGGTCGACGCGTAAGAAAGATCTCAAAAAATTTTTATGAAAATCAGTGGCAAGTGGATGAGTTTTTCGCGTTTTCTACGTGTATCTAACACCTAAACAGGGCCATTTTCCCATAGCAATTTTCCCCAGAAAGCACCCCTTGGCATATCGTGAGTCGCTCTACAGTACAACCTGTCTAAAACGGAAAAATTCACTACAGCGTGATACCCGTTTATACAGGTTTTACTGTACAGTACATATACTCATAATCAAAAGTAATTTCTAAAGTAGAATAGGGTTTTTTTTTCTTTTAGGATTAAATTAAAGTTGATAACGATGATAAATGGGTAAATTTTATTTTTATTTTGGTCCTAATTAAACTAAATTACACTTTAATTTAGTCTACGTAAGGCAAATAACATGACACAAGCGAGAACTAAGTACCCAATTAACGTATCACCGCACTGATTTCATGCAGTTACTTATTTCACCAATTCACCGAATAAATATTTAATATAATTCAATCATTTTAAAATGCTATTTTAAACAACACTCGAAGCAGTTATTGTTCTAAATGAATCGGGTTTATATATGAATACCCGTTTTTTAAATAGGAAATATAAAAGAATTGTTAAAGTTGTGTTGGATACAGTGAAGTTTACTTTATAGCACATGTCCATGCTTTCGTCACAATAAGGATAATACAGAAAGGATGTGTCGCTTTTTGTTTGCATATAACAAGAGATGTGTGACTAAAGCAAGCACGCGAGATCGATTGATAAAAGAAAGTATCTTGAACACCCTTTTCTGAGTATTCATTATTATTATTATTTTTTTAAACCAGTTTCAGCAAAGTGTTACAGTCACTTTTCTTCAGTTTATGTTATTATTTAATTAAAAATGCATGCCCTGTTGTAATTATTTTAACACATGATACTGTGTTACATTTATTACTTTATGGCCCACTGAATATACGAAAAATGTCACCTGGGACTTTAACCAGATTGATACAGCAAAAGTTTCTGGATTTCAATTGAAATTAAACAGTTTATCTCAGTAAAAAAAAGAGCCTAAACTGTAAATTTACACTCATTTAATTAATATAAGAATAGAATATTTTTTCATGAAATATAAGCTACATAGACTTTGAAGAGTGGAAAATAAAAAAAAGTAATGATCTAGGAATATGAAATTCATTATAATTATTATAATAACAAATGAGTTATGTGATTATTAATCTCAATAAGAGATTTCAAACAAAGTATAGAGCCAAGAAAGAAACATAAATTTAGTTTTCAGAAGTATTTATAACAAATCATTTAAGTAAACTAAAGTAACTCAATTTAAGAAGCAATTAATACTTTTTATTGGAAATTTAAAATATTGTATATAATTTTACATAATAAATGCAAATATTACTGGTAGTCATAGCTGCCCAGAGCTTGTTTTGGACCCAGCATAGAGCATGCCTTATCTGCCCCTTAGTAGCCCCTTTAAAAATGAAATATGTATTGTTTCTTTATTAATAAAAAATCTTAAAATTTTTTTTGTTAATAAAATAACATTATTTCATAGGGGTAGGAACAGGCAAGAGAAAATATAGGGACATTACTGGTCTAAGTTTTCTCTGGGCTGGGAGAAAACTCCACAGTTTTCTCTCTCTTCCAGGGCTCTGATGGGAATAATATTTGCTATAACATATATGAAAAGATTTGTTGTAAAATATTTCCTAATTAATACAGTTATTGTGCTACATTTACTACAATAAGTTTGTAGTTAATATAATTATTAAAAATTTGTTTTAGTAGAGATATTTATTATATTTGATATGTGAAAATCTCATCAAAACCATATTTTTAATGCCTCTTAATAATTTATTAACTTAAATAAATCACAATTATCAGAAAGTTATATTGATCAAATATGATTTGTTGATCTTATTCCATCAATACTATCATCTCATAATAAAATATGACAAGTGTTGCATTACTATATATATGATGCTAAAATGAATGATAGAATTCTGATATTTAAAATATTTTTTGGAAGCAAAGAAGCATATTGTGGATGAAGCAGTATCCTTGGATAATACAGTAAAACCTCATTAATTAAATCAAAGTTAAAGGATAAAAACTCCTGACTTAAAATTAAAGAATTTTAAGTTAACAAGCTGAATATCCAATTTTCTCAAATCTTTCTGTTGCTGTAAATTTCTCATTATCACTTTCTTAAGGGTCTGTTTAGAGAATGATTACAAAATTGTATAGAATTTATTATGCTTTTGAATACATTGTGCAAGGCACCCCCATAGCATCCTATTGTGTCCCAATCAGAACACTGGTAACATATTGTATCAATAAAAGAATATCATTGTGAGGTTGTAATGGCATAGTGTTATGTTCAACATAGAGCTGTAGAGTAATTTTACCTAATCATCTGTATTTACATGGAATATAAGTGAAAATGAAGATGATGGACTTATCAAAGGATGGAAGGTACATAGGAAAATAGATTTGAGTTAAAAGTGCCAATAGTTTTGACTGAACAACATCATATTATAGGGAAAACTTTATATATATGCTGTGCATAGGACCTGTAACCAGTTTTAGTTAACACAACTTTAAATTAAATGCAGTTCAACTTAGGTTTTACTGTAAAGATGTAACTGAGAGCAATATATGATTTTTTTAACATTTATAATACAGTAGAGCCTCAAAAACTCAGCCTAATGTGGACCAAAGGGTGGCCGAGTTTGTGAAAATGCTGGGTTATCGGAAATGGGGTTAAAAAAAATAAGTATGAGTGTTTCCTTAGAAAATACTGTACTGTACTTGTATGTATTGTTTACTTGAGAATACAACAGAGAATAAACTGCCAAAATACCCTTAAACAAAGGAAAAGTATGTACTTTATGAAGGCATAGAGCCTTTACTTCATGAAAATGAAAATTAATGAATACACTGTACAGTAATTTACCTGATAAGACAGACCTCAGAAAAATACTTTATGAGGCATAAAGCTGTCTTTATCATGAAAATTAATTAACTAAGGGTTTTTTTTTGCCCTGCCAATGTGTGGCCGAGCTATCCGGAGTGCCGGGTTATCCAGTGCCGAGTTTTCGAGGCTCTACTGTATTAATATTAGTAGAATATTTATTGATACATAAAAATAATTTTAAAAATTGTCAATTTGTTAGATTTTCCTATACACTGTTTCTAATTTTGCATATTACTTGTGTTTCTTTCTACTCTGGATACTTCTTACCCTTGCTACACGTATGTGGAAAATTTTTGTAATTGAAAAGATCAACACAGATAGAAATTTACTATATTTTTTAGAAAATTAAGAAAATAAAAATTAAAGTTAACTTTTCAAAATTACTTTAAAAAAAACACATTTAATTTTTTTCATAAATTACTTAGTAACATATATAGACTATTGGTTACAACTGATTCATGCAATTTCAAACATTTATTTTTTATAAAATAATGCTTGTAGTTTTACATTAGACTTTTGTTGTTTTGACTCCCTTGATTTTACTTACATTTTGAAGAAACTAAAGTAAACAAGCTGCTTACACAAAGTCAAGGATAAAATGAAAGACGCTTACATTTTCAGCCTGGCTCATTAGCTGAAATTGTTACTGTTTTTGATTTTATCCTTAAATTTCAGGAAAGCAGTTTGTTTTCTTCTCTATAAAGTACATACATTATTGTTATATTGAAAATAACTTATGATTTTAAAGATAACCGAAAATACAAAGAAAGATTTTGAATGATGTTATCAGTGTGTTATAGATTTTGAATTGATAAATGCTATTTAAAATTGTTAGAATGATTAATAAATTTTATTGTAAGTCATATCATATTATAGAAGTCATACCAATGATTAAAATTTAATTTTTTTTAAATTAAATTTATTTGATTTCCATTACTTTCATAAATTCATTTTTATACTTACTTCTTTTTGTCCACAGATCCATCATGATTTTCATGATATTTATATTCATCCACATTGACTATGGCACCTGTTATATTGCTGAGAACACTAGAAATATTTTAAAAATTAAACAATCATGTAGATTATTTTTAAAATTTATCTTAAATTTAAAACTGTATACTGTATTTATTTTAAATTGCACAGATAAAGTTTTATTTACTCACTCTCTGAAATTTTCTAGTTTCTCTCTTAATTCTTCTGGAGTAAGTCTTAATACAAAACGAACTCTTTGATCTTCACGTAACAGATAAATCTATAATTGGAAATGAAATAAAATATAAATTTCCACATAAGAATTGTTATTTACTTCAATATTTATTATGCTTGACTTACAAAAACTCTGGCAGTACTGAAAAGTCCATCTGTATCATTTGCTAAAACTTCAAAATCAAAATATCCTTTCATACCCTTTTGAGGATCAAATGTAAGACTAATTTGCCCAGTTTCTCTATCAATGGCAAAGGGCGAGTTTTTGATAGAATCTAGTCCTTCCGACAAAGTTCTTTGAATTTCTCCAATGATATAATAATTTACAATACTATTTTCACCTATATCCAAGTCTACAGCCTAATAATTTGCAAATTTATTAGTAATTTAATGAAACTTATTTGATGAAAGCGTTATTGTTTTAAATATTTACCTTTACAGACATAAATACAGTTCCAAAATCCATGTCTGTAGTAACACCACCTGTAAATACTGATTTAACAAATCTTGGAGGATTATCATTGATATCCCTTACACCAATATTGACTTGTAGTAAGGTGTTATCTCTAGGATCAAATCCTCCAGAATAATTTGGCACATGCAAACAATCATCAGTAGCTTGAACTATAAGTGTATAATTTGACCTTTCTTCCCTATCTAAAACATCAGTTGTATATAAGCTATGAGTAAAGATGTCTAGTTTAAATCTTCCTTCTTTATTTCCATCTGTTTAATAAAAAAAATGTCTGGCTGAGATTGAATTTTATAAATAGAGAAATAAAAATTTATTAATTATCATTATACATTAATTTATTTAATTGTAAATTATCAGAGAATATAAACATACATAAAAAGCTGATATTTTATATAGTTTTTTTTTCATTTTTTTTATTAAGATACTACACTTTAAATATGCATTAAACAATTATAAAAACAGTAAAAATTTAAGCATTTTTAATTTTGATGTTCTGGTCTTTGGTAACATATTAATTAATGGGAAACTATTTTTCTAAAAATGATGTTTTACTTTAATTAAGAATATATGTATATTTTATGCATTGATATAATGAAACTGATAGTGATAAACAAGTGTTGAGAAACATTTAAGTACAGCTCATGAAGTAAAAGTCTTTGCAAAAACAATCATTTGAACTATTGATAGAATTAATAAAGGAAAATGTTAGATGTTTCAATAAATTAGTTATTTAAAGGAATGGATATGTTATAGAAGACAATGGGTATATTCCAGTATACATCCATCCAAGCCACAACTGACATCAGTGAATAGTTTAATAAGCTTTTATTTGAACATCTGATAACTGAAGGAGATGACAAAAAGTAGACAGTACTAGATTGGCATTTGCAGACTTTTGTTAAAATAACTTTGGGTTAATTAATACTGATGAGTAGTAAAAGTGATGTTAATAATACAACCATAGAAGCAGACATATTGCTTTATCAAAGCTCATCATATTTACAGCCTGATGAGTGTAATGTGCATCAGTAACTGCACTAATGAACTCATTGGTAAATATCAGAACGCAGTTTAGTATATTACAATTCATTGATTCACTGTTTAATGCATACTGGAATGAACCCAATGAACTACACAGATGATATAGATGACTAATATATTAATAGCATGATTATTTGTTTTCTTAGAGAATAAGGATGACAAATTTTTAAACATATATGTATTGTATTTGTTTATAAAAGTAAGAATGCATTAATCTTATTAGTTTAATAATGCTTTATATTAAAAACAGCACTTACATATATGTTTTGCAAACCGTGCAAAACAACACTTACAATTTGAATAGAATAATTCTTGCAAGTTGCAAAACAATTACCAGCATGGTTTCATAAGTACTAAATAAGGATAATTCTTACAAAATATATATATTTAAAATTGTTATTACAGTTTTTTTTTTAAATAATGATTGTGTGTGTCAGTGGTACATAGCCAAAAATAATCATGTATCTCCTGAAGATCTTTTATATACCCGGGACCATGCATACCACACTGTGAAATACTACTTTAGAGCAAAGGTTTTTAATTGGTGTAACAAAAACCTCTGATGAGATGCCACAAAATTTCAAACTGCTAATTTTTTGTATTCCTTTTAATGTTATTTGTTCACCAACTGCTTCTATAAGCTGGATTGTTTAATGGACTCATCAAAAACCTCATTTTAATACCAGCAGAAGTTTAACCTTTCATGTGAACTTGGGATAAGACACTTGAAAGATTAAACTCCTGCTGGTGTTAAAATAAGGTTTTGGTAAATCAATCTTATTTGTATATTATATATATAAACTACAGATTTTTAATGTTGTATTTTGTATATACATATAATGGAATCTTTAATGAAACACAGTTTTGTCAGTGTACTACTAAAAATTGTTTATAAGTGTATTACTAGCTGAAAACCACTAATTGAAAACCACTGCATTAGAGCAATATCAAAAAGCACATTCATGTCCTGTTCCATATTCTAATCAAATATTCTTCATACTATCAGACAAAATGTTTCTTTTGTTTCATAATTTATGCACATTAATTTTCAGTGGATTTATAACAGTTTAGCATTTTGATACATAATTTCACTCAAGTTTATATTTATAAATTATCTCTTTCTTATTCTTTTACATAAAAATTGATTCATTTTAATGTTGTCTTTAAAATCAAATTCTTAGAAGTTTGGCATATTCACATAGTCATAATAACATGTATTATATACATTTTTCTTTATATATATATATAAGTAAAAATTTATATTTATATTTCCTGTATATTTATGAAATTACAATTTACTATATTTTTGTGCATGTAACCTGCAATGGATAGAACAAAAATAAACATAACATAAAATTGCTAGAACAAAAATAAAACCTTTGCATGAATCATCTTACCCACATATCCTACACCTACAGTAGCAATACTTGCTCCTGTAGGTACAAGTTCATGATTGCAACCTAAAATCTGTATATAACCCATACCTCTTTCAAACCATCTTTTAAACTCAGATAAACTTGCAGATTATATACAGAAAAATATGATATTTAATTGCATCTTGATAAGTTATCTTTGGTTACATTGATATAACCAAATTTATATTGAATAATTGATATAACAGTAAAGTTTGTTATGAATTCATCAAATTAAAGTAGTATAATTAAAGTTTTTTACCAACTATAAAATAGCATGGTATTGGTTTTGGTGATGGAGAATCATCATCATCTTTATCTACAGTAGAAATTAATTTGAAAGACTCTTGACCAGCTGTCATATTTTCTGTAAACATCACTTGAAACTAAAATAAAAATTATGAAAATGTTAAAATTAAATTCTTAGTAAAACTACATTACTTATGTAAATTATTCTTACCACATCTTCTAAAAATTCTGGTGAATAATCATTGACATTTGTTACAAAAATGATAATGTCTAAATCTGTTGAAAGAGAAGTTGGTTTTCCCAAATCATAAGCTTCTACTCTAAGCTAAATTTTAATAAAAACAATTAGATTATACACAAATATATATATATATGATTTAAATAAGTTTAAGTTACTTACTTCATAGGATTTTTGTCTTTCCCGATCCAATTGCTCTCGTAAGGTAATTGTTCCTGATTTTTCATCAATATTGAAAGCTCTCCAATCTCCATTTGATAACTTCTTTAATCTATATCGTATTTCTCCATTTTGACCAACATCAGCATCTGTTGCATGTGTTTCCACAACAACAGTGCCCAATGTTGCATTCTAAAACAATAAAAATATTTGTAAATAAAATAATTAACCAAGTTTTTTTTATTATGTTAAGGTTTGTATTCACCTCAGCAACTTTAATTGTGAAATTTTTTGGTGGTTTGAGAAAAACTGGACTGTTATCATTTACATCAGACACACAAACATTGAATAATTCCAAGGAAAACAATGGATAATTCCCACCATCTTGTGCCCTGAGTTTTAAAGTATAATTTCCAAATTTGTTTCTTAGAGATTTCCTGGAGACCACCCTTGCCATATTATTTTCCATATTTTCAATATCAAACAATGCTGTCAAAAAATAGTTTTTTTCAAGTTACTATTGCATAAATTCATTTTAATAAACTCTAAGTTAATAGTTACCATCTTGATTTCCAGATTCTATGGAAAATGACACCTGACCATTTGATGTATTAGGATCATCTTTATCATTAGCAGAAACCATAAAAATTGTTTCTCTTATATCATGAAATTCTGTTACAGTGGCACACATTCTCTGTTTAATGAATTCGGGTCTATTATCATTAATATCTGTGACGCGCACTGTTACCTGTGAGATATAAATTAAACTTTATGAATTACATATTAGTTATAATTTTCCATTTTTAAACATACGAAAATTCTGTTAAATGTATAAATTAAAAATTCAATTTCAATACTTGTTTAAATGCTTTTCTGCTCTCTCCTGTTGAAAATCCATATTCATAATTATCCCAGGCTTGAACAATAAGAGTGTATGAACTGACCTCTTCCCTGTCCAGAGACTCAGCTACTGTTAACAATCCCTGAAATAGTTCCTATCAATTTTAGTTCTTGTGTTTACTTATTACAAGTTCTAAAAAACAATTGTAAAAATTGTTCATATTTTTTACATATTAAATTAAATTATAAGACATTCAATATATATAAGATGTAACTAACAATCAAATAATATAAAGACAAAAATTTCCAACAGGAATATTTATAGTTTTAGGATATTAAAATTATTAAGTGAAAAAATTTATTAGATTTCAAATGAACTTACTTCCAAAAACTATATTTTAATAGTAAAATTTATATAAACTATTTGATGTAGAAAATGAAGTGCACTGCAGAGGGACTTAGCATTTATATAAGTCTGAAATGCATATGTGGAAACAATAAAAGAAGTGTGTAACCTGAAAGCTGTAACAATAGTCTACCCCGAACTTAATTTCGGATTAAAGAGACATACATACATAGACCATAAGAAATGTGTGGACCAATAAATTAATAAATAATAATCTAATTATATAATCTATTTATTTTCTACAAAGATCAAACAATACATTTTTCTGAGTATTGGACTATTTGTATCTACTTTATATGTTACAATAATGTTTATTTTGGATATTGCTTGTTGTTATGCTATTACTAATGAATATTGTCTACATTTTTATCTTTACTTATGAATTACATATCATGTTCCACTAATTTGTTACTTATACAATAGATTCACAGATTAATAAACTTTTATATTAGGTTCATATGTGTTGACAAATGTAATGCAGAAGCCATCCATAAATTATTTCTACAGTTTTTGAGCCATTTTTTGATTCCCTCCCTCCTTGTTGTGTATATTGATGTACTTTTACACACCCCTCCCCATTAATTACATTTACAATAACAATAAAATACCATAAAAAAAGTCCACAGAAACAATGCCAAGACCTCCTCCCTCCCATCATGTACAATAATGTACTTTTTACAACCCTCCTCCCTCTCAAACTTTATTTATGATTAATAGATGGCCCATAATGTAAAATAGAATTTTATAAAATAACTTCTAAATTAAATTTGTTTAAGAATATAATACCAAATTTTATAATACATAAATCTGTTTTCAGATTGCTTATAAACTATGTACTGGTAAACAAATTGATTTTTGTTATTGTATTTCCTTTACAAACAATAAAAAAATTTTAATATAAATTGATCTGTAATGAAAATGAATGTCATCAATATTGTGTGCTATAATATTACAGTATTAAGTACTGCAATTCAGTGTTTTATATATGTACTCATGAAATTGTAACAAAAAATATTCAATACATTCATGCTATAAATAAAATTAATTTAACATTTATTAAGGAACAAATCACTTTATGTTGTTGTTATTACATAAAGTCAAATGTATTAAAAATTTTCTCAGATAAATTATTCAATATTAGTTACAAAATAACAATATTCTTTGATTATATTCTGTTTAATTCTTAATTAATTTTGAGCTATATTTTAAAAATTGGTTAGTTTTAAAATTGATAATCAAAATTAAATTAATTTAAGAATAAGTTAAATATAGAATGAAATAGCATTTTCAATTTGATTTAAACAAAAAATATTCACAAAATTTACCATCATGAATATATCCTAATGTTTAAATATTAAGTGTAATAAATTTACTTCATAAAAAATTAATTTTATAACAGAAAAATATATTTTTTTAAAAAGTGTATTGATTATATTCTGTTACAACAAAATCAATTTGTTCTATCATTACAGGTGTTATGTATTCAACATTATAATTCAGCATAACTTAAGTTATGCCCCTGTTAATGAGCTTCCCATAATGTCATCTGATAATTGCTGTGAAGATACTTTTAAGTTTCAGTTAAAACAAAGGTTTTATAAATTTGGATTGATCTTTTGAGGAAAAGCTATTGATTAATTATAATCAATTAATAATTATCTCTCACAGAGATCAATTGAAATTTTAACAATATTCTGATAATTGCATTAGGGAACAAAATTAAAACTTTTTTTGGCACACAAATGAAAATATCTGATCCTAATACAATTTTTTATGCTGTTTTCAAATATATAAACACATTTAACAAGCTTTGAAATTTATCATCTTTAATTAAGCTTATTACTTGTGGGCCCATGAAAACTCCAGCTTTGATTTAGCATTACTTATATGAGGAAATTTTTCCTTCAAATAATGAAATCCAGCATTGTTTACATACATTGTCTTGATAAAGTTTTTGAAAAGTCCTAACTTTATATGAAGTGAAGATAGAAGAATCATGTCAGCATTGACTAATGGGGCATGAACAGTATTTTTCTGTCCAGGAATAAATATTTCACATTTTGGCCATTCCTTCTTGACATAATGATTTTTCTTATCTCTGCTGTTCCACTCACACAAGAAATAACAAAATTTAGTGTAGCTAAGCTGCAAACCCATTAATAATGCAACGACTTTTAAATCACAACATATGATCCAATTGTACTCGTGATAATGAATTTTTTTTAAGTAAGAGTTTCATATTTTCATAAGTTTCTTTCATTTTAGTTGAATAAGATAATGGCACAAAAGGAAATTTGTTTCCATTGTGTAAAAGCACAACCTTAAGACTAATCCTAGATAAATCAATGAAAAGTCTCCATTCCGTGGTATGTTTATGATCAAGTGCATCCATGCATTATTGCAATAAATTAAACCACTTTCTTCAAAATAGTAATCTTGAAAATCTTCTTGACAATTACCAAAGAAACACACCTTAGTTGTCTGATGAAGTAAATTCCAACTTTTCAGTTGAGAAGCTGAAAGTTCAGCCTGTTTTTTAGACAGGTTCAGATTCCTAACAAGATCATTTAGCTCATTTTGAGTTAATAAATGAGGTTCACAAGTAGAGGTGCTAGCTACGGTTGCTAAGGAGTTAATTATATATGTATATGAAATATTATACTTCATTTTCACTTTTCAGAAACTATGTACTGGTAATAATATGTGAAGTCTCCTAATACAATACATATATTAATAAAAAATGTTTATTATAAGACAAATTATTAGTAAATATAATTTTTTCTACTGTCTAAAAACAGCAGAAAGGAAAAAATTAATAAAAACCTTTTAAATATTAAAATATTTTACAATCAACCAAAATTTCTATGATATATTGATGTATTTCAGTATTTACTTCTGATAGTCTACTAAAGAATACCATAAAGAGTGACTATTAAATATATTATAATCAATATATGCAAAAATTTCAATTTTGCTAATTATATGTTGTAATAATGAGTATGTTGTACTGTACATTATCTTTAGGGACATTATTTAAAACAATACATGTAATGATAAATAAATAAATTTAATAAAATAATAAATTTATTAATATATTTTATTTCTGTAGTTATATTGTAACCAATTGGCAAAGGTTTAATTTTGTTTCCTTTGTAATCAACACTTTTGCAATTAAACATAAGAGTAATTTTATAAGTAATTTTACAGGTATTTTATATATACAGAAGCAAAATTATTCAATAAAACTTCATATAAACGAAAAAAATCTTTTGCTAAGTTTACAAGATAACTACAAAAATGAAATGTGTTAATATATTTATTATTTTATGGTTTTAGATTTATAATAAATAATTAGGAGATGTTTGTTAGATCTCCTAACTATTCAGCAACAAATGATGAATATTTTTATTAAATACATTTACAGCATCAGTACTTACAGTTTCTCTATTAATGCGAAATTGGCCTTTAGTAGTAGCAGGATCTAATAAATAAGTAATGCGACCGTAATCACCGATATCAGCATCTGTAGCTTGAATAATTGCCACTTCCTGTCCAACTTCAGCATTTTCAGGAATATAAAACTCATTTGGTCCTTCATTGAATATAGGATTATTGTCATTCTCATCCAGAACTTGGATAAACAACTGAGCTGTACCAGTTAATGGAGGAATTCCATTATCCGTTGCTAAAACTGTCAAATTCAGCCAAGCAAACACTTCCCTGTCAATTTTATTATTTGCAGTTATTTCCCCTACAGTAAAGAAGATTTGTTTATTGGTAATTCTAACTTAATGTATTAATTTAGAAACAAATTTAATAAAAAATTTTAATCTAAGATAACATCTACAGTGTAAACTATAGAATATAAACCACTTATTCACCTGAAATAGGAAGTAAATCTTAGAAAAAATATGTTTTATCTAAGTTGGAATGAACCTATGTCTTATTCATTACAGATTTATGGATCAAAGGATCAGAGAGGTTTGGTTCTTACCTAGATTAAACATACCTTTTCCTATCTCAGATTTACTTCCCATCATAGAACGTGAAGTTTATACTTTAAGTGCTTACTTTGAAAGTTTTTCATTTATTAATAAAGCGAATCATCAATTATTATATAAAAATTTAATAACATATTTAATTTTCTTATAAAATTTACAAAATATTTACATTTCAGTTCTTTATGAAACAAAAAAACAAAAAGAAAAACATTCAATTAAGGGTGACAAGCACACGAATTCTTGGAATGCAGTACAAACTAGTAAATTGCACCTGTTTTACCCACCTGTATATGAATTGATAAGCAGCCATTCGGATACATCTGTATAATGCATGCGAAAAATAGAAATGATGTTGCAATTAAAGGTAAAATTATGATAAAACATATAAACAAATAGGTGTGGTGCAAATATAAAAGTGGATACTAAATCTTGGTGCAGTTGCGTATTTCAGTGCTCGAAATAATAAAGAAATTTTTACATAAATATTAAACTTAATAGAAAGATGAATATGGAAATTAAAATACAGAAAATTAAATATTTTCTCACCCAAGTACTCTTTGCAGAAACTAATTCTCTGTTAAAAAATATCACAATAAGAAATTATCTAAGTGAAACTTGTATCATGAATTTGTGTTTTAATGTTTTCATTTGTTCCATTTGTTGAATTCTTTCAATTTATTAATACATTATTATCTGGGAATAAAATTAAACAAAATATCTCCTCTCAAATATAACCTAAGCAATTCTCCAATTTTAAGCATATATTACTGGAAATATATTTTTTAGGAGGACAATATTTTTAATTTTGACATGGAAATGGGTGGAAAGTTTATATTATTCATTAAAAATCTATAGAAATATATCTGTAGATTTCTAATTTTGCACCTAATCATCATAAAAGAAACTAATCTTAAGTATTTTTAATAAGTTTCTTGAAAATTTAAGACTCCTATATTCTGTCCTAATATAATATTACTAAATTTACTCTGTAATTCATGCTTATTTACTATTCAAATAGCATAAATGAGTAGTTTTCTTAAATGAAAACAGTAATAGGAGTTATATAATTTTAATAAGGGATGTCATTGCATTTTCTTGTTAATTTAAAGTTTCTCTTAGATAATTGCTTTAAAAATTAAATATTTAATTGATATTTACCTGATTTCCTATCAAGCCTGACTAATCTTGTCAATTCTGGATTACCTTCCAAATAATATAACAGTGTTCTATTTAAATCTGCATCTTCAGCAACCACAGTTAGTATAGGTGAACCCGGTTTGGCATTTTCAGTAACAGCTGCTCTATAAGTTTGCTTTTGAAATTCTGGTCTATTGTCATTTACATCATCAATTTTGATGGTCAGAGTAGCTGAAAAATTCAATTATTTATATTATATAAAGTTAATATATTTAGTAATACAGGGTCTTGCAAAAAGAATTCTACCATTTTAAATTATTGTAATTAAGTTAATTATTATCACAGAACGTTGTAAAGTACATTAAAACATTAGAAAACTGTCCAAGTTTCACATTTGTCTATTGTAACTTCTTAATGTGTGCACCTCTAACTGATATCAAATTCTTCCTACACACCCTACAGCATATTCGTTGTCACCTCTTCCACAGCAGCCATAATTCTACAGTTCCTGCAGATTACTCGTGTTGCACAATGATGAGTGATTCCAACTTTGCAAACTGTAGAACACAAATGCCTTCTTTGCTGCAGGGTCGCCATTTTCATTTATGGCACTTCTGGAGGTAGTAGACTACAATGCAGAAAGGAGATAAAACTCGAACGTCAGTGTACATTGCATACTTTTCTCATAATAATTAACATAATTACAAGTAGTAGTATTCTTTTTTGAAGACTCTTTACTTAGCTGATATTTACCTGTGGATGTTTGTCCTTCTGTAGATGCTGCAAGATCTTCAACTTTGAGTAACAGTCTGACTATTTCTACTTTTTCTCGATCGAGTGCTTTTGTAACTTTAACAATACCATCCACAGAGTTAATATCAAAAGCTTCACCATAATCAAATTCTGCAACAGTTACTAAAGCTCCCTTTTCGTTTCGTGCTTCGCTTCTTTCCAGATCTATGGAGTATCTTAAGATGGGTCTCTCATCCAGATCGGTAGCAGAAACTATTGTGACAAAATGACCGATTGGTGCATCTTCCCTTACAATGGCAGGAGATAGATCCATAAAAATTGGCGGTTTATTATTCACATCGGTGATAGAAATATTTACAAGTACTTTCGAATATCTTTGCTCGTCACCAATTCCTCCATCCAGAGCAAGGACTTCTAACAGATAAAATGTCGTTTTTGGTATCGTCCTATCGGGATCTAAATTAGCACCCTGAGCTACCGAGATGACACCCGTATTGGCATTTATTACAAATTTATCTTGGGCACCAGACTGGATTCGATAAGCTATACGACTATTAGATTGCGAATGATCGCCATCGAATGCTATTACTTGAAGCACAGAAGTTCCATTTGGTGTATCTTCTTGGATAGATTTACTATAAAACGATCTCTGGAACGTGGGTGTATGGTCGTTCTGATCCTATTTCAGAAATTATAGTTTTTATTATTATAATTATTAATGGAAAATATAATTATTATAATTCAAACTCAATTTTTACAGTTCACCAATAACCCAGTGGATAAAACTACCGAACGTTAGTAGTTGGTCACGGGTTCGTGCCTGACCGACTCTAGTAGTTGGTTGCGGGTTCGTGCATGACCAACGAGGGGTTTTCCGAGTTTTCTTCATGTGCCTAACAACTAAATAGGGCTGGCTTCCAGTACACCCCCCTTGCCAGACTGCCCAAATATAATGTGGCTTTATCCCATCAAAACAATCTTATTTTCACAGAAATATTAGAATTATATCAAAATAATTTATATTCTTTCGTGGATAGTAAAAGGATATTAACTATCCACGAAAGAAATCCATTAAACATTTATTAACCAATGTTTAAAATGTAAATTTACTTATTAACATTTACAGGCCTTAGCACTGGAGATACCAGCAAGGCCATTTTACCTGGACAAGGACCTCAAAAACATTAGTTAGACTATAAATTATTCATTCTATAGCATTTTGTGTATTAAGAAAAACCTTTATTTTTATATCAAATTTTATATTTTATAAAATATAATACAATCTTTTAAAATCTCTCAGAAGACCTCTTGGTCTTTAAATGATCAGGATAACTGGAATTCTGATCATTCATGCTTTTAATTATTGATAAAATAACTAATTTCCTTATTATTTTATCATAGAATTTTAAATTAAATTTCAATTTAATTGTAACGAAAACTGAAATTTTATGCTACATATCTTGTTTATTTTTTTTTAAACTCAATCCAAGCATTTAATATGATTCGAAGAAAAAATTAAAATTCCTAACATGTATGACCTTGATAGTTCAAGTATATCAAATCATGCCATGAAGAAAATTCCTTGACATTGAAATTATCTAAAAAACTGATCTTGAATTATACCGAAAAAGAAAAAAAAAGAATAAAAAAAATTATAAAGGAAAATAAATTAAATAAAGAGAAAGAATATACATTTTATTTTTAAAATTTCGTTTTTTACACCATGTTAAATCATTATAAAACTTGATTTTTTTTAAAAAAGAAATAAAATTATAATCGTTTCTTGGTCCATAACAGAGATCCACACTTAAGAGTGTCATTTCCAGAGACAGTTGAAGGTTTTTCAGTGCCTCAGAAATTAATGGAACCTCAAAATTAATGAACAAAAAAAAAAAACTTTCTGATGTGCCTCGAAATTTTATAAGTTAATTTCTTTTGAAGCTTATGAATTTTAAATTGTTCTATTTGATAAGGTAGCCAACCAAGTTTATGCAAAATTGTCGAGCAGGAGGACCAGGATTCCTCATTTAATCTGGCACCTATCTGTTTGGTTTAATAGACCCTGACAGAAATTTGTTACCATGGGTAAACGTATAACTTAAAGCATCGTCAACGCACAGAAAACTCTTCGTTTAGATGCTATTAGGAAAGGAATAAACATAAGCCAAAAGAGAAAACAATATTAGAAATTTTATGTGTGTGTTCAATGTGTACTGAACTATAATTAAGTATAACTATAAGCATTTATTTATTTACGTTATTATAAAACTTACTTGAATGTATATGATGACAGGAACATCGTTGTACAAAGAGGGAAATCCTAAATCGTAGGCTCTAACTGTTAAGGAGAAGGTGCGAATATCCCCTTTTCCTTGAGGTATTCTTTCATAGTCTATAGGTTGACGAGGTCGTATTTCTCCAGTAATGTTATCAATTGTGAAATTTCCTTCTTTGTCTCCTTGAATAATTTCATATCTGATTTCGCTGTTAGGGGAACCTTTCAGATCATCGTCTTGAGCCTGTAATAATATTTCGCTGTATAAAGTAAAAGTATTTACTTCGTTTTTCGTGTTTTAAGATATTCTGTAACAAGTATAGTCGAGCTGAAAACTTGAACAATTGATAAAGAATTAAAACCATACGTAATGTAAAATTTATACAAATGGACCTAATATATAGAATTAAATTTGAAATTGGTTCAAATATAAAGCAGAAATGGTTGACAGTATGGTACTCGAAGATTAAGATTGGAAATTGGAACCTTATAATTAATTTCCTAAGGAGTGTAGGGAAATTTTATTCTCTGTTTCACACAATAGTACGGCAAATTACCTGATATAAGCTCAGTTAGCATGATTTAACCAATCTCTTTTCCCCTTGGCAAAATTGCGCCTGTGGTCCATCCCATTGTAGGTTAGGCAAGTGAGTAACAATGAAGCCAACCAAATAAGTTTCTTCGGCTTCACTGTTATTATAGCTACTTCTAGAATAAAATTCTAGAAGTAGCCATAATTTTGATCATAATATTTGTGAAATTGTCGAATAGTAAAACAAATAAGTATTAACTGTATTTATGTTAGCTTTATCCAATCAATGTAAAAATTCCAAATCAAGTAAGAAAAATATCCTGGTCTTAATATGAATAACACCTCTTGCATCAAATTCCAGAATTTGATGATGTGGAGAGATAAATATAGGGCGCTAGACACTTATACTTAACCCGATTAATTATATAGGCTATGCATTTATGTATATAGCACCCGTTTTAATATAGTTTATCTAACTGTATTTAAAACTTCCCATTTTTATGGACACAAGGTTTAAAAATTAGGTTGTATATATTGATATTGTTACCTAAATAAACAGGATCAAAGTATACGGAAGTCGGAGTCCAGAGGGTAATGGGGGTGGGACAAAAAGACATATTGGGATCCTATAGCAAGTCGTATATGGGTTATTTGCTCATTTTGTTCTGTGCCCTATGCATTTTTATGCTAACTTTGGGAACACCAGAGGGTATCCCTGAAGTTAGCACGAAAAAACAAGTCTAGATAAATCCCTCTGATCTCAATAAATGTCAATCTACTAAATAACCATGGAGATAATTGTGTGAATGGTCATTGAATCTCTATTAAATGAGATCCTGCACCCATTAAAACGGACAATCATTAGTAACAATAAGTGAACTATACAAAATGAATACCTTAACTACTAAAGGAGTTAAGAACTCCATTTCATTTTCCACCAATCTCGCTTCGTATTTGGTTTGTAAAAAATAAGGCACGTTATCGTTGACGTCTTCCAATGACAACTGCAATTGAACCGTGTTCCTGTTGCCATGTCCATTATCATCGCGAGCTTCTATTGTGACATAATACTGTGACGTCAGTTCACGATCGAATCCGTGTTGAGATGTTGTCACAGTTATCTCACCGGTAATTATATCTAAGTGTAATCTAATACGTAAAAAAACAAGTCATTTTAAATTAAATTAATAAACGAATCACCGATAATCATAATTAAATAATTAATTTATTTATTTACTTGTCTGCTATTTGTCCTCTGATTTCTGTATATCTTATTCCTGATGTCCCATATTCCTTTGAATCTCGATCGGTGGCCTGAAATCATTTATTAAAATAATTTTAAAAATTTATACCTATACAACATACTTCATAATACTGTAATTTGAAAATAATATTCGTCTGTCAGGTTGTCTGATCGATTTAATTCACTTCTTACATATAACTAGAAGAGTGCTGAAATTTTATAATCAGAATTTTGAAATCCACACTCCATGACATCCTGAATAATTCTAGAATGTCTAGAATTTTAGAATTATTGAATTATTCTAGAATTATTTTTCTATAATTATTTTAAAATTATTTTTCTAGAATTATTCTAGAATTATTTTCTGGAATTATTCTAAAATTATTTTTCTAGAATTATTCTAGAATTCTAGACGAGAGTTCTAGACATTCCAGATACACAATTCTACATTTCACATTTAGCACCACGTGGTATAACGTCCTTTAGTGTGTAATGTCTAGAATTCTAGACATTCTAGAGTTATTCTAAAATTCTAGACAATAGTACTAGACATTACAGAGTTATTTTGGAATTCTAGATAATAGTTTTAGACATTCCAGAATAATTCTAGAATTCTTAATACCAAGCTTATTCTCTAGTTATACTTATGTAGCTTATTAAATGAGTCACAGGCAGACACACGAACGTCATTTTCAAATTTAAGAAATAAGAAATAATCTTAAGAACATCTTTAAATATATGCTTTATATTTAAGGTGTTTAAAGCATTTTAATTGTATCTTGTTTGAAATTTAATTATAATCAACTTACCTTAATTGTAATTATAGAAGTTCCCGCTTGAACATTTTCTGGTATTCTAGCCTTATATAATTCTTCGCTAAATTCGGGAAAATTATCGTTAACATCTCTAATATATATAGTAACCTCAGCTGAACTTGATTTAGGTTGTTGTAACACTGATTCACGCGCTATAATCTGAGGACAAAAAAATGTAGAAAAGTATGAAAATTTAGGTTGAAATTCATAAAATTTAATTAATTAATTAATTAACCTTGAAATTCATTAATTTCGTTATCTCATAATCCAAAGCTTGAGAATTTTTCACGCGAATTAGAAATGACGCTTCGTTTACACCTTCTTCTGGTGTAACTTCGAACACATCGTTATCACCTTCCAGAAACAATCGAAATGTGCCATTGTTTCCCTGAAATTAAGTCGAAACGTTAAGTTTTTTCACGAAATCTTAAAGAAATCTTGGCTTAAAGCATGAAATCTTAAAGAAATCTTGGCTTAAACCATGAAATCTTAAAGAAATCTTGGCTTAAAGCATGAAATCTTAAAGAAATCTTGGCTTAAACCATGAAATCTTAAAGAAATCTTGGCTTAAAACATGAAATCTTAAAGAAATCTTGGCTTAAAACATGAAATCTTACTTGATCATGATCGAAAACTTCGGGTATGCTCTCTCCTATGAAATTAACAGGGACATTATCTTGAGCATTTTCATTAATTTCTGCAATGTAACGTTGACTTTTAAAGGTTGGTGTTTCGTCGTTGACGTCATTTAAAATGATCGTCACTTCCGTCGTAACGCTCGGAGGAGGAAAAAAAGTTGGCGCAACTTCTTGAGCCTTAAATAAAATGAATCCACGTGATAATTAATAAATTAAATTAATCACTTTATTTATTTAAAATTTATAATTTAATTTAACTTTACTTCGATCTCCAGAATGAAAGCTCCGTTTCTGTTATCTGTACTTTCTCTATCTAATGGCTTCTGTACTGTAATTCTGCCTGTGTTACTGTTGATTGCGAAAAGATCTCTTCCACCTGTTTTAATTAAATTTTGTAGGAAATTAAAATAAATTAAAAATATTTCTTAACCCCTAAGCATCAACACGAAATCATGAAAAGTATTTGTAATTGATTAAAAGGTGCTCATTAACCATGTAAATTATTGAATCACCATATCTATTGTTCGACAAAATCCATTGTCATTCAAGAAATGTTTGGTTTTATGGGATATGGTTTGAACACGCGGGCGATCTACCAAAGAAGAATGCTTCACTGAGTACTTCATTGGTAAACTGGCTCCTATTAAATGCTTAAAACGTGAAGAAAACCAGAGAAATTCCATTTGAATAGGTGCAAACCACTGGATAAGAGAGATACACGTCGATAACAAAACTGATAAATTTGCTAATTTATTTTAAAAATTCCACATCAAATTCCAAAAATTTCTTACAATTGGCTCGAATTTTAAGCTAATTTACAGCATCTGTTTAATTTAAAACTGCCTAGAGGAAAATCTTGAACAGTTTTTGTATCAATTCATTAATAAGATTGATAAATATTTTAACTTAAATTTATATTGTTACTCTCTTCGAGGCAACGTGAAGCATTTTAATATTTCAAGTACAAGGGTTATAAAGAAAAGGTCGATCGATGAAAGATACATACCAAACTACTTCCATAAATATGGAAATTTATTCATAAAAATAAAATTTAAAATAGTAAACGATGTCGCCTGCTGTATGCAATGAAGATATCATCGAAATCGGATAGAAATTTCAAAGATTTAGAATTATTTTTCATGTCAAAGTACCCATGTCTAATTGTAAAACTTTCTTGGAATTCTAATTAAATTTCATTAGAGATTTAAAAAAAATAAATAAATAAATTACAGAAAATTGAATGCTGATCGATCTGTTCGATTTTCTGTAATTACTGTTTGAAATCTCTAATGAACTTTAATCATAGAGCGGTGAGCGGGTTAATGAGTATAAAATAACATACCAGACATTATGAATTTTCTAATTATAATCATTAATTATTAATGATTTATCTAAAGTTAGTGAGAAAAAAACAGATTGACATTTTCATAAGTGGAGAGTTTAAAAACATTTGTAGATTTGATGGTTATAAATATTAGAAACTGCATGTTTAATTTGTTTCTCATCATTTGTATTTGTTTTCTCTTAATCAAGTGCTCAATAGAGCGAAAACAGGTTAATGATGAGGAGTACATTAGAAGCTTTCAGTTCTTGACATATATTTTAAGAATATTTAATTAAATAAACTAGAATTTTATGTCAATACAATTTAATAACATTTATAAAAAGCTGGCAACGTTTTTTGCTGGACTTTTCCGGCATTCTTTATTTGTTTTAGTACCTAATAATTGCTATCATTACGTTTACAAGTCTTCAGTTTGATTCGAGAGATATTAAAGGGGTCATATCTCTCGAATCACTGGTCAAATTTTCATGAAAATTTCTACAAACATTTCTCCCTAATACACAAACTTCCTTGTGAAATTTCAGAAATTTTTGATAGAAGGCACAGGAGTTATTAAGATTTGAATTGGGCGAACAAAATCACCCCCAACACATTAATTCCCATACATACAAAGTGTGATGTTTCAGACAGATGTTCTCGTGAATTTTGGGATTGAATATCACATCCTTACTAAGGAATTGAATTTTTAATACATTAAAAATCGTTTAATATGTAAATTTAATTCATATTTTAAATTAATTTTTCAAAATTTCATTTTTTTCATCACACTGTGTTCTTTTTTTTTATCCTCAATAATTACGATTTGAAAGGATTTTTAAATAGTTAAATTTATAATTTAAATATAAAGTTAATATCAGTTTCCATCATAATTTTATATATTTAACTTTACCAACCTCTAATTATTCTATATGTAATTGCATTGTTGACACCACGATCTCCATCAACGGCTTTAACTGTTAAGACATGAGAATTCTACAAAAATAATATATATATATAAATATGTATAATCATCATGTAAGATTGATTTATAATATACAGTAATATCATACATACAACTGTCAGATCTTCCGGAATACGTGTAACTGGAGGAACAATGATGAATTCTGGTGGTTGATCCTCAACGTCTTCGACCTTAATCAAAATGGCGGCTGTTGCAGTATTAATTCTTCCTGTATTTGCTCGATCCTATTCAGATGAAGTTCGTGTTTATTTAACTGAAAAATTATCTCTGAAATTTTACGCAAACTTCAACTTACAATGGCCAAAACACGAAGTTGATGGATGGACTTCTTCTCGTAGTCTAATGGTCCAATTAGTGTAATGACTCCTTCTCCATTTTGTGTCCTCACGGAAAAGGTGTTCATTGTGTCTTCGTCTGTCTTCTGAAATATCATTAATTATTATTATTATTATTATTATTATTATTATTATATAAATTCAGAAAATGATGATTTCTATGATAAATACTTGTAAACGGTAGATGACTTGTCCGAATGGTCCAGCATCCGAATCTTCAGCTTTAACTTTTTCTATTATAAGGCCTTTTTTAGCATTCTAAAAAAATATAATTGATGTTTATAAAGTATATATATTAAACAGTTTGCTTCTTAAATATCATAATTCCAATCGCCAAGACCCTACGAAAATTAAATTTCCTTTTTTTTTTTTAAGTAAATAATCTGCCTAAAACTGAACCCAAATGAGATGGAAACCTGCCTAAACGGGAAGACATTCCGGTTTACACAGGTTTTACTGTAGTCTTTCATCACGAGCTTTGTACTTTTATGTATATCCACGTATGAGGCATACAATAGCATGATTGATTGGAGTTTCGTGCATATAATCCGCAGGTTAGCTGTGTTTAGAAATAAAATACCTTAAACGGGACGTCGATTTGACGTTGAAATAACGAACTAGTGCCTATAAAATAATGGTTAATGCCAATAGATGCGTGGTATATAATAGAGTAAATTTATACTAATAATTTATTTTACTTTTAGTAATTTATTGCGAAAATAAAGTACTAGCTAACAACTTACACTTCGTACAATATCAAGTATCGTGTGATATAAAGGTATGTAATAATTGATTAATTAATTAATTAAAATTAAATTGAATAATATCCTTACTTCAGGTATAGAAACTGTTGGCCTGAAAGGGCGAAAAATTGGTTCGTTGTCGTTGACATCCTCAACAATAATGTGCAATTCTTGACTATGCTAAAAAGATTTTTTAAATAATAAAATTTAATTAGTTAAATATCATTAATCACACCCAAACCCTATATTTGTTAGCACTAAATCGAAGTGTGGTGTTAAATTGAAGAACCTCAAACTTTGGTGTCTGAGGTTCTTCGGTTTAACGCCACACTCTGTGGATTATTTACAAACAATGAATTATTTAACGTAACGCCATCTAAACGCTAATTTGAAGATTAAGAGTTTGAAAATCGCGTAATTTTGCGATAACAATACGAAGGGTGTCATTATTTAATAATTAAAAGGAAGATCCATTCATGAGCATTGATTGGTGCTGCGCTATATCGAAGTTCGACTGTATTTAACCATGGGCGCTTTAATATAGTCTTACTATTAAAAAAATACTGTTATAAATTCGTAAATAATCCACTTTATAAATAAAATATTTTAATTTATGATAAATCTATTAAAATATTGAAATAATTTATCATTTAAACCCTATAATTTCTTCCATTTTTATAAATTAATAATAATAAAATAATTATTCCTTTGTGTATGATTGATAATATGGAAGTTTTTTGTAGTTAAAATACGGTTTAATTTTAATTAAACTGTACAATAATTACGCAAAAGTAATCAGACGTAATCGATCGCGTCGCGCAAACGCGATCAATCGCGTCGCGTTGCATAGGCTACTTTGCATTGTATACGTTTATCTGTTCTTATGCATTCGCTAAAAATACATAAATAATTAATAAAATAATGAGTTTTTATGGATATGAGAAACAGATAAATTATATTACTGTAATAAAAATGATTGCAGTCTGCACGCGACGCGATTCTTCGTGTCGATTATTTACTAACGAATATCGCTTCGTGAATAATTCGGATGTTCGCAATTAATTTACTTTGAATATATTTTTTGTGAAAATTATTACTAAATTCGCTTTTAAATATGAATAAATTTGTTCTATTCTGAAAAATTCCAGTAAACAAAAGTTATTTTCATCGCTTGTATCGATCGCATGTCGCGCGCGTTTAAAAATTTATATTATAAAGTATAAAATAAATGTTCTTGCTTTAAGTTCAATGCCGTGTTTAAAATTTTATCAACTTCTGCATTTTCTCCTCATTTAATAAATTATAAATACTGTATACAAGTAATATAAGTAACAAAGAAAGTATCATACAATGAACTCTCGATGTAGCGTACCCTCAAAGAATCATTCGCTACATTAAGTTCTTTATATATATTTATATATATGAAGAATGGCGAGGATCACAGCTTGTTTGCTGCACTTATTAAAGGCTCACTGTGTGCGAGTTTTAATTCTGTACAAACTTCCTGTGTAAGCTCCTTGTTACATAAGCATCCTATGCAAACCGTATGCAAGCTCCTTGCTATGTAAGCTCAATGCTAGCTCCTTGTTACATAAGCATACCGTGTAAGTTCCCTGTTATTTATACAAGCTCCTGTACAAACTCCCTGTTAACTTTATAAACCATATAATTATGATAGAGGTATATAAAATTCTATTATAAATTATAATTTACGTACAATAAACTGTCCCGGAGAAAGCTTTCCATCAGTTAAAGTAAAAGAAATTTTGTACTCGTTTTGCTTCTGTAAAATATAAAAACAAACATTAACACGTTCACAAACACAAGGATTTAGTAGCGATGACAATTCTCTAATCACCTCTCTATCCAACTCTTTATTTAGATAAACATTGGCATCAGTATGGCCTACATTTTCGATTCGAACTATATCCGAATCCTTACTCTCCGCAACACCAAACCTCAAAGAATCTCCATCAGCATCTTCACCCCTCAATTTATAAATTAACTTTCCTGTAAAACGTACAATTATTTTTTTTAAAAAATCCATAAATAGCATTTTAACAGTAAAAGCAACGCCCTTCCCGCTCACACGTTAGGGTTATGTTACCAATAGTAACCCAACGAGGCCAAGGACGTTACGTTACATCCTTTAAACGTTACATCAACCCGATTTTATTGTATACGATGCCGTTATTATTATTATGATTACAAGAATTTCCCTGTACTCACCAACACTATCGTTGCCCTCATTCACTTTTATGATAGTTTCTCCGATATTTCCTTGAAATTTCGGCGGAGAATTCGCTCGAGCTGAAGTAAAAATATGTCAAATTTAATATATATATATATAGGAGATAATTGTGTG